AGTAAAATTGATATACACACACGGTAAATTTTACCCCATGCCGGGTTTCAATGTCATTTAAAAATACTTTCTTTTCTAATTATTACGTGTCAGAAAGTCTCTTTCAATTTTTTCATACAAAATTATGTACATGGTGACATTCTACTTCATTGATGCTTACATGCAAAACCTTTGAGGGCAATTATTTTCTGTCATAATGGAATGTCATAAGCTGAAGTTTGAAGAAAAAATATGGATTCGGAAAATTAATATGATAGAGTATAAGAAAAATACCTCAATTTCATGTCCATGATATAAAAGGTGGAAACACCTCTGCTGGGCTTTGTGGATCGTGAGTTTAGAACTCGACATACCTACGTAAAAATGAAGGCCTAAGTGCATTTTAAAAGTTTGAAAGAGTGTATTTGTTATCAATGAAATTTGCTGAATATTGATTTTTGTTTTTAGTAAGAAATGCATTGAGAATGGTCCTCTTTAATGCCATATTCTTGATGATTTATCATATTCATCTACGCAGCTCACATTAAAGTAATTTTCACAACTTTTTAAGAACATTTATTTTTTGGGCACAATAAAGCCCGAACAGTAGCCCCGTCTTTACTTTTATCTATATTTTATAACGTGTTATTATATTGCACTTTTTATATTTCGGTCATCAGATACAATTTCATTGAACTTTTTTTAAGAATTCTTAATTGAAGAAGGATATGGAGATAACAAACAGCATTCAATATTAAAGTCCATAAAACAATGCAAAATAGGAGCAGAGCAAACACAGACCTCCGAAACATCAAAGGAGGGTTCAGGTGTCATGGAGGAGTGAGTATGCCCTGCTGACCGGTCATTCCCGGTGAAGTGAGAAATGTGTAAAGCTTTAATTAAAAGGTGAATGTTTTACATTAGACAAGGGGAGTCTAATGAAATCCATGGCAAGTTTTTTTTTCAGTTTTCATGCATGTTGGTCTCAATTATTATTGTATATACTGTAACAGCTAGAAAGATTCACGTCTCCAGATCCTGATGAAAATTTCAAAAAATATCCAGGATTAGGGACATGATTTCTTATGCAGAAAGTTAATTTGGGTAACTGTTTTGTGCCAGAATAAGATATTGAGTTTGAAGTCAAATTTAAATAAAAGTTTATATTTTTTGTCAGAAATGATACGGAATAAGAAGAGTTTTTGTAGTGATATCATAAGGTTTCTCTATTCTAGTGAAACATTGAATTGATGTTTTCGGAAGTTCCCCCTGTGTGGCACTAATTCACCAAAAGCAGCATTTTGCAAAAGTGATTGCAAACTATTAAGTTTCATCATGATGAATACAATAGAGTACTAGTTGGGATAAAATGTATCTGAAGTTAATGGATAATGAAATGAAATACTGTCCTCTACTGACCAAACAAACAACATATAACTTATGCACCTTAACTCTTTGTAGAGTAGATGGCAGCTTTTTAAAATTTTATCACTGGATCGTGCATCAAAAAGAATTTTGTGTCTTATAATAAATTTTCACTTCGTGTAATTTTTTGCTGGATATTAAATACATGAATAATGACTGTCTCTGTCTGTCAGATCTCACTCTTGTTATCAAAATTCTATTAACATTTTGATTTACAAGTAAGAAGATTATAAGCTGAAGAATCCAACATGGATCAGCATCATCATCATTTGGATTTTTTCCTGAAGTCTCATGAAACGTTTTTCTCTTAGTATATTGAACAATTCTAAATATGACTAAAATATTTTAGTTGTAAAACGATGAAATTTATTGAATTGATTTTATTTTATTAGTTGATATGAAAAAATGCACAACATAATGATACACATTTCAGATATTAGATTTCCATTATTGATTGTTAAAATCATGTACAATTGTCCGCAGTTTACATTCCAAATATTACTTATCTAATCCATCTCCTACTTGGTCTCATCAGCTTTCAATGCTAATTACATTTTATCAATTAAATGAATATTACGTACAGTGAACAGTGAATTAAATCCTATTTTCATTTGAAATTATCCTTTTTACTTTTTAGCTCACCTGAAGCAAATTTTTAAGTAAACTTTTCAGATAAACTGTTGTTTTTGTCCCCTCTTACTTTTTATACCTTTTACTCCTCCTTGAGAATCATTGGACCAGTTTCAATCTAACTCACAAGAGAGCATCCTTTGGTAAAGGGGATTCATGAAAAAATAAAATAAAAATTCAAATATTTTGATTAAAGGATAAATTTACAAGGAAAAAAAACAGAAATGGTGTGTTGCGATGTGGGTAATACACTTTTAGAACTTGCATAAATGAAGGAAACAAAACAAACCTAAATTTTACCAATATTTAATAAACAAAACAAAAGTAAATTTTTACAACAAAACAAATTAAAAAAAATAGAAATGAAATATCTATCAGCAGCACGTCCTGGAGAGTGTCCTGGGAAGTGTAATTAATTGTTCACAACACCTATGCTGAACAATAACTGAATTTCGCGGTGTTAAATTTCCTCTCATTTATTTTTTACAAATAAAAATAAATATAATTTCACAAAAACCACATAGTTGACTGTTTTCTAAACTTCCACAATGTTGTCTGGATTATCTTTGGATTTAATAGATAAACTATCAAAAAGGTGAATTCATTATTCAATATCAACAAATAACTTTAAATTGCTGGTACTGTGGTGTCCGTCAGGGCTGCCTTTCTCTGTCGTACTCTCTCTCACACATTTACGGTTGTAATTGCGAAACCAATACAGGTCCATCCCTTTCACCCTTGACGACTGGCCACACAGGTTTTAACTAGAGTGTGACTTCCCGGGTACTACCCGAGCACGAGCTCTCAAGTAGATAAAATCACTAATTAATGGGCTCCACACAGGATAAACAACAATATTTACATTCACGTAGCAGGGATATATTAAGGAATTTAATTTAGTTTGTTACAAACCTCCGCCTTTTGAAGACCAAAACACCATTTGGTCTAACCTATTTACAAACAAAATAACATGAAAATCAACCATATATACAAACTGGACATATTCTCCATTGACCTTAATTTACTCTTCACTGGATCTTGACAAAGCATCTGCAGTAACGTTCCGATTGCCCGGAACATACCGATCTGTAAAACAAAACTCCTGCAAAAGAAGACTCTATCTCAAAAGCCTCTGATTTGACTGTTTTGATCTCTGTATCCACGTCAATGGAACATGATCAGTTTCAATAACAAACTGTTTACCTTCTACACGTATATATAACCCTTAATAAGATCCAACTTATTGATATACTTAGCTCTGCTGATTTTGTTTAGAATATCATCAATTTTTGGCATTGGCAGAGGATCAAACACAGTTACCTTATTTAGATCCCTATAATCCACGCAGAATCTAAGGGTATCGTCAATTTTTTTGATGAGTACAATAGGCGCTGCGTAAGGGTTTTGTGTCTCCTCTATGATTCCCATCTTTTTCATCTGTCTATATCCGAAATGCGTATCATTATCATGTTGTTTTAATGGTGTGCTGATGTTGGACATTTTCTTGGGAATATCTGTAAATAAATTCTAAAATTCTTCTACTAACCTTTAAAGTTGCCGTTTCTGAACAAGCTGCTCTTCTGACAGTTCTGACGATATCTCAACATTACCAGACGTTTCTCTCTGTTGAACGATTGGAGGTCTATGGTTATTGTTATCGTCCTCATCTACAAAACTTGATTTTTAATCCCATATGCTAAAACTCCATTGCTTTTCGGACGCTTCTCTTCCAAATCTCTGCTAAACCACTTGTTTAACATGTTGATATGGTAAAGGGTTCTTTATTCTAGAATATTCTAACCTTGTAATCCACTGGACTTACCCTTTTCACGACTTCATATGGACCTTTCCATTGTGACATCAACTTAGATGTGCTGGTTGGGAGAAGGACAAGAACTTTCTGACCTACCTCAAATGTACGAATTCTAGCCTTTTTGTCATATTACAATATTTGTTCATTTTTTGTGAGTATCTCTGAATATTTTTCTCCATAATATACGACAAAAGCGAAGCCTGATCCTCTGTTGGTTCCTTCCACTGCTCTATCAAGATTGCTAAAGACCCCCTAACATGTCTACCATACAGTATGTCAAAGGGAGGAAACCTAGTTGTCTCATTCGACACCTTTTCGTGTGCAAAAAGGACGTATGGCAAATGAACATCCCATTTGTTAGGTTCAGAAAAAGCGTATGCCTTAAGAATTTTCTTCAAGGTCCCATTAAATGTTTCAACCGACCCATTTCCCTGTGGATGGTAAGGCGCAGTTGTTAATTTTCTTAACTGACGTAACCTACACAATTCAGTCATCAGTGTGCACATAAAATTGGTACCCTGGTCCGATAGAATTTCGTTAGGCACACCTACCCTAGAAAACAACTCTATCAAAGTGTTGGCCACTGTCTCTGCTTCTTGGTTTTTCAAAGGAAATGCTTCCGGATATCGGGTTGAGTAGTCCATTCAAACCAAGATGTAACGATTTTTCTTCTCCGTCAAGGGAAGAGGTCCAACAAAATCTATGACTGTTCTTGTGAATGGTTCCTCAATGGGTGGAAAAGGAATGAGTGGAGCTTTTTGGAGTTCAGCCTTTTGGTGTCCCCTTTTGATAAATAGAACAAAATTTGCAAAATCAAGATATATCGATGTTCATTCCAGGCCAAAAGAAATATATAATACGCTGCCTGGTTTTCTTGTTACCTAAATGTCCTGCTAGTGGAGTGTCATGAGCCAAGGACATTACCTTTGAACTCATTGTCTTTGGTACGACAAACTGGAAAAATTTCTCAACAGAATATTTCTGAAATATTCTATATAGTATACCATCCTGCTTCTGAAAGTAAGACTTACCTTCATGAGTATCATCTTGTGCCATACTCAGTGCGGATTTTAAACTGTCATCTGGTTCTTGACATTCTACCAACTTCTTTCTTCTGCACCATAACTTTTTCAAACCTGCATCCTCTGAATCCTTATCTCTTGCTTTTTTTCTGAAAACTACTATTACCATGCTCAAACTCCGTCTGCAAACGTGTCTGAACCGAAACACAAGTGTTCTCATCATCTCCTTCCATCCTGACTTCTTTTCCGTCCTCCATTGGTTTGAGTATGCTAACATTATTACCAATAATTACATCAGCAAATGGAGAGTCAAGAACAAGGGCATATACTTTACCTGTTACATAAGAAGTCTTTAGATCTACCATGGCCTCATCACAGTTTCTTTGACATCCATCTACCAGAGTAGGCACTCTTGAACGTCCTGTTTTATCAGAGTCTGAAATAAACTTATTTCTTACAAATACAGTAGAGCATCCGGTATCTCTTGAGACTGCAACTGGTTGATCACTCAGCTGGCCTTTTACTAAACCAAACCTAATGATGTCGATGTTTCAATGACTGACGACTCGTTATCAACTCCGGACAACCTGAAAATCACCCTACCTTTGGTTGTATCTTGTATTTGATCTACAACTTTAGACTTGTACTTATCTAAACACATACCAACATTTTCTGACCTTTTCTCTGGCTCTTTACCGTCCAGACCTTTTGACGGAGTTTTTAAAGCAAACGATTTGCTCCAATATTCCCTACTCTATCGCAAATGAAACACTTTCTGCTATTGGCTCTCCAGGCGAATTATTCCCTTTATCATTAAATTGGACACTATTGTCAATAAGACAATTATTCTTATGTGCCGCCTGAAATGCACTAGACAACACTACAATCTCCGCAATATAATTTTGGTCATGCTCCAGAATCCACAACTGTTAGTCTTTTGGACAACTTCTAACAATCTGTTCGCTCAAATCCATATCTTACAACCTGCCAAAATCTGAATCCATTTTCTCACGTTCACATCGGTGTTTAAGGCACCTTTCTACTATAACAAATACGACTCAGCATTTGACTGCTTACCCTGACGAATTTTCCCCCTCTAATCTTCAGACGTTAGCTCATATCTCTTGAGAATAGCAGTTTTGATAATCTCATAGTTATCGCTATCTGCATCCGACAATTTTGAATTTGCTTCTAAAGCCTTGCCTGCTAACATAGAAACTAAGCGATTAACCCACAGGGATTTATTCCATATCTGCAACCCAGCCATATTTTCAAACGACCGTAAAACGACATCAGGGTCCTGTCCCTCCTCAAACTTAGGCAACGTAACAGTTGGGCATTTAATCCCATTTAGACCCACCCAACCCCAATATTAACATGTTCTAGCTATTTTTCTTTTCCAGATAACTCCCGTCTCAAATCTCTTTCTTCCTCTTGCTCTGCAATTGCTCTCCGTGCCTGACGCTTTTATCTCTCTTGCGGCCATCTCCCCCTCTCGAGTTCTCTCTCTCTTGGATTCCTGCTCCTGACGCCACATCTCCAGACATTCTTTTACATTTGTTACTTTTCAATTAAGTCAGACAACCACTCAGGCATATGACATTGTGAAAATTTGTGAACCTCAACAAAAAATAAAATTAATAATAGAAACACGCAAACAAAAATATTTCCTTTATTTACCCAAGCTCAGATTATCCTACCGTTGCCACCAAATTGTTGAGGCGTGTGTTATACACTCTTAGAACTTGAATAAATAAAGGAATCAAAACAAACCAAACAGGTCTTATCTCGGCTTTGACTTCCTGGATACTACCCTAACAGGAGCTCTCAGGTAGATAAAATTACTAATCAAGGGGCTCCGCACAGATAAAAACAATATTAACATTCACACAGCAAGGGTATAATAAGGGATTAAATTTAGTTTGTTACAAGGTGAAACATGCAAAAGCTTTCTGACAGCCAAGTGTAGTTATTCAAGTCGGACATAAGAAGATAGGGGAGGGCCTCAATAGATTATCAAACTTACACAGGAACATAGAAAAAGTAGACAATTATAGTGAAATGAAGACTGGTTATATTCATTTCCAATCTTACTCAGGTATTGCAGATTTCTATTTCAAATCATGGCCCTAAAAGGTAGAGTCAGGTCACAAAAGGGGATCAAAGTTTCATATAAGAACATTTATGCAAGAAAGAAAAGTTAAGTATTCTTCTTGATAAAAGTGTAGACCATGATTATTCATATTAATATAATAAATTTGACAAGTGTCTGTTTGGCATCTTGGGAACCCTTTTGATATTAATAGAAAAAAAATCTCAAGAGCTGCTAATAATAATGGTATAAATATTCTAGTATCCTTTGGTAGTGCTGATTATATTCAAGTCACGATTTTAGGTGAAGCGTAAAGGGCTGCAATAGGGGATCAAAATTTTTATGACATGTAAAATTTAGGGACAGATATCTTAATTCTCAAAAACGGTATTGGAACATTTTTATGTCATGAGAATTTAGATTTGGTAACATCATGACCTCCCAAAATTTTTTGGAAATCCGATGGGAACCAATTGTGCTCCGTTATTAGCAAACCTTTTTTTGGATAATTATGAAGCAGATTTGTGCTAAATCTTCTGCGTGCAAAGAAGGAAACCCTTGATATGGCCTTTAACTCAACATTTAGAGATATCCACGACGTATAATAAATGGTAATTTCCATTCCTATGTCGATACCATATATCCTGGTTATCTTGAGATAAAAAATGCAACAGAGTCTGACACATCTGTTTCATATATGGATATTTTACTTGAAAAAGACTTTATTGGTAATCTAACAATCAAACACTATGATAAACACGATGACTTAAACTTTTCTATCATCAACTTCTCTTACTTATGCAGCAATATATCTTCATAACCTGCACACAGAGATTATGTATCTCAGTTTATAGCCGTTGGAACTAGGGGGAGGGGGCTAGGGGGAGAGAACTTAGCCACCCCAACCTTTTTCGCAAAGATAGACTTAGTATAGGCTTGAACATTGGAGCGAATGTTTAGCCCTCCCCCCTCCCCCCACTTTTTACAAACACGTTGCAGTATAGGTTAAAATAAGGAAAGTGGCAGTATTAATGTTTGAGCCCCCCTCTCCTTACAACCACAAAATCTCACAAAATAGGATTGTAGCGTTTGGTCAATAATCATCCATCATTTGGTTTTGTTTGTCAGCTTTTTTGGGACCTAAAAAGTTTTCTCTTACACTAGCCCCCACCTTGTATTGTCTTATGGACATTGATATTGAATACTGTTCGTTATCTCCATGTCCTTCACTCTAAGAATTATGCTTGGGTCACAAGATACATGTTGGAAATGCATTTTCTTGAGAAAAAGGAGAAAAAAATCATTTTATAAAAATATTTCCAAGAACAAAGGTCCATGTAAATCAGATTGAGGAATGGGCCTCCATTTAATGCAAAATAAAATAAATTGAATTGAGGAAAAGATAAAGTCGATAATTTTTTTTTCATTCAGATGAATTAAAATTTCTGACATTTTTTCTAAACTCATTAAGTATCTCGTTTCTTCTCATTTCTGTAGCTTTTTGTATGTCATTGTTTGGTTCTTGTCTGAGAGATTGTTGGTATGAGTATAGAGCAGCCTGGAAGTTCCCTGTCACCTGTTGACAGATCCCCAAAATCTGCCAGGATATGTCTCTTTGTTCTAAATCTATAAGCTCTCCCTGATCATAGTGAACTAGGGTCTGAAGATCTTCTAGAGCTGTCTGTACTCTCATTGTGTCTACATGTCTGTAGCACAAGATCTCTAGCATGTATAACAGAATAAAGGGTGGGACAATTAATTTAGGATGATTATTTTGATAAGCAAACTGTTGTTCTGGTATCAATTCATTGATGTAATGGATTATATTTTCAAGTCCGATATTCCATGCTACAGTCTGTTTCATCTTTATACACCAAGACTGTCCCCCTACAGCCTCAATGTACATCTTTGTATCTACTTTTGACTCATACATCAAATATGGCTGTGCTAACTTGACCTTTACTATCTCTATAATATATAAAGCTTTCATGTATCTATGTGTTTTGTAATAATACATGGCTATGTACAGCATGTCAGTAATACAACCAAACTTGGCTGTTAATTTCAGCATGTGACAGGACAATTTGTTAGCTCTTGACCTCAGTTTATTTTCATGTGTGTAAGTTTCCATGTGTAATGAAAATGCAAATTGCTGAAGGACATCGGCTGTCAGTTTCTGTAGCATTATGTCTCGATACTTGGTCAGGAGTGGTAAATCTATTATCTGTTCTATTGTATGCATATATTTTGCATATCTTTGTAGGTTCAATTGGTCAAAATTTATTGCGTAATAATTGTTAATTTCATGAAATAGGTTTATATCAAATTCAGCCTCAGAAATCAGAGTATGTTCATCTGTACAGATGTAGAGGAGTATTGGATTAAGAAGGACATCTAGAATACAAAGTCTAATGGAGGGACTATGTAGCAGGAATTCTAAACGCTTCTCATACAACCCATATAGTCTTATAAATAATTTATGTTGTTTGTTGCCATATATTTTACTCAGAAACATGTTGTTATCTGGAATGAAAAAGTTAGGACAGACCCCCTCATACACCCATTTAAGGATGAGTTTGAAACAGACCCAGAAACCCTCCAGGAGATTTTGTGGACACCAGTGAGGTATTGTATTTTGTTGAATCACCCAGAAAATTGCTGTCTTCATGTGGTAGGAACAAAGTAATTTATCATCCTCATGCAGGCCATTGTTAATTATTTCTGATAAGAACAATTTAAGCAAACCATAGGTTAAGAATTGACAGTGGTTCATTGCATACACTAGCTTTTGTTCTGCCCGAGAGAAAGAAATTCTCCATTCATGGTCTTCATGAATTCCTAGCTTATGTCCTATGGCTACTAAGTGACATCCATTGTTTACTATGTCATTAACAACATGACGCTGTGGCCACGAGTGACTTCTTTCTATCCACGAGGAGGCAGATGGAGGCCAAAAATCACAAATAAAACAAGGAGCACTATCAAATTCTAGTGTTCCTATTGTTCGAGTGGCACAGGGTCCATGTGGAGTGAAGTTTACTGATAATGTAGAGAAAATGATCTTTTGAAGTTTAGAACTTGATACATAATATCTGTTATCCATTCTAATACAAGCTCTCTGGATGTATATGTCCATGCCTGGTGTCAGTGAATTTAACAAAGTGTATCCTGGTGGACTATCAGAACAGTCACAGAGGAACAGTGTTTGTCTGTGTGTTGTAATACTGAGACTGAGATATATCCCAGATCACACGTCGATTATTCGGCCAGCACATCATATCAGTATCAGATTCTTTAAATCTGAATCCTTCTCTTCGACTCCCACTCACCATCACACTGATCCCGTCACTTGTTGTCACTTGATTTTCCACCATATCCCTGAAGTCGATCACATTTCTCCTCATGACCACCAATTGTGAGGTCCCCAACTGACGACACAGTCCCACAAACACTGACTCTGATATGTGTGGATAGGCTGTTTTCCTGGAGTACAGTAAAAACAAAGTTTATAAATTTTATATAATAACTTATATCAACCATTGAAATTACGAAATGAGACTGCTGATATTCTTGTTTCATCAACTTGCTTGTCAATAATATACCTCGTTTTAGAAATTGTTCATACGTAGAGCTTGCTCTTAGGCATCGAATCAATTGAGATACATATACTCCATATACAGGTGATAAACCTATATTGCGGCATAAGTAAGGGAAGCTGATAATAGAAAAGTTAAAGTCATCGCGTTTATCATATAGCTTTGCTGTTAGATTACCATTAACGTCTTTTTCAAGTAAAATATCCAAGTATGAAACAGATGGGTTAGCCTCTGTTGTATCTTTTATCTCAAGCTCACTAGGATGTATCGTATTGATTTAGAATTGGAAATGGCCATTGTTAATTGAGAATACGTCGTCGATATATCTAAATGTCGAGTTGAAGGCCGCACCAAGTGTTTTTTTCTTTTCACGCATTAGATTTTGCACAAATTATGCTTGATATGAATATAAAAATATGTCTGCTAATAACGATGCGCAATTGGTATCCATGGGAATTCCAATAGATTGTTGGAATACCTTGTCTCCAAAAACCACATAGATACAGGTATTCTCAACCAGAAACTCAAGCATCTCTTTGATGTAAACTTCAGAGTACTTGTTTGTGCAATCAGAATGTTTTTTACAAAATAATTTTGGAAATGACAAATGACTAGGTAAGGAAATTTACGAGTTCCACTTTTATTGAAAAAACAGTTGTCTATGAAATCAAAAAGCCTAGAAATCAGACGCAGATATTTAAGAATTTAATTTTTTTTTTAACAATTTGAAACTTACGACTTTTCAACTTTTCTAATAACCAAGCTCTATGATAAATGTGATGACTTTAACTTTTCAATCGTCAACTCCCCTTACCTATGCATCAATATACTTTCATTTTACGGATTTTATATCTCTCAGTTGATTTGATAATGATACTCAAGTGAATGCTGTACGTTAATTTGTTCAATTTCCAGAACAAGATAATTTATTGACAAACAAGTTAATGGAAAAAGAAAGTCTCAAAACAAAAGCAGTCTCGTTTCGTCATTTCGTAAGTAATGGTCGACTCCTTGACCTTGTCAGCAAAACAATTTATCAATGAGCATTGGCGTCGTATGGAAATTTTGGAAGGGGTGGCTAATGTTTGTGATCTCCATATATTTCATCATTGAAGATTTACTTTTGCATATTTCGTTTACTAACTATATTTTATTAAAAGAATGTACTTCAGATTCTCAATATTATCAATTTAATATAAATAGACTAAAAATTATATACAGGATTGTTTTGCGTCATTGAAGGAATGTTTTTAAGTTTTGTGTGAGTTATTGGTTTGTGAATCACACAGACTTGTCACGTAGGCATAATTTATGAAGCGCACAACGTGCAGGTCTGTGTGGTCTATGTGATTCACACACCATTAATACACACTAAACATTCCTTATATTTTCATTTTACATGTTTAGAAGCAACTAAAATACTCAATATTTGAATTTCTTGCTGCCCTAAATCGTTGCATTTTTACTAACGTCGCTTCAGCCTCATTGAGAAGTCACGTACATTAACGCACGTTTCTCCCTGTATATTTCTACGCGTGAGTATACACGAAAATGGTATTCAAATAAATTTTACTGTTGAAAAACACAGCAAATGTAAATATTCGTGTATAACAGTAACTGTTAGTAAAACTTACATTTGTGAAGTTCCGAAGGAGTCCATTTTGCAGGTTAGATAGACTTACACTTACGAAACTGTATAATAGATATCAGACAGGCAAACCAGTCTAGCAGGTTGGACTGAAAAGTTTCAGGTGCTATAAATAGTTCAGAAAAACCCCACTCCAAACTTTCATTTTAATAGATAATATTCTTTAACGTATTTACATGTACAATAAATCAAAAGGGATCGTGCCTCAATTCCAGGGTTTGGGGTGTGCAACATTAAATGATTGGAAATAATTGGTATAACCTTTGTTGACTGCTGAAATATACAAATATGTCCTAACCTTATCTAGGTAAACAATAATCAAATGGTAAATCAATATAACGATCGGAGGCAAGCATAATTATATGGGGACTTAAATACACTTAAATAAGATGTCCAGTCTATCGCATATACTGTAGGATGCCATATTCAGGATGGACAGTATATGTGATAGCCCTTCAACCACTACACTCATTGTATGATGCCTTATTCAGGACAGACGATGATTATATAGCAGCCTGGACGGACTGGTCAGCCAATGTACAACAAATTATAGCTAGCCTCTATATTGGATGTCATCCTAGTTTGTGGCAGGCCTTAACTAGGAAGCCCTTTCAAATTCACTCTCTAAATGTAAAACAGGCGAGGAATATAATACGCGAATTCTTATTTCACGTCAATCGTCCTCTTTCCTTGTCTGCATCCGACAAACTCCGCCTGATCACTGCGGAGTCTCGATATTTATACACAATAAAGGTCACGTGATGTGTACATTGACTAATTAGAAACCCGAATGGTCGTACCTTAAAATTCCGGAATCATTACAATTCAATGTATCGGAGAATGGTGTTAGGGATTTAAAGCTCAATAAGATTTGGCAGTGTATATGCATAGAGAATTGTTATCAGTTAAAATTAAAAGAAAAAATAACGTTTATAGGGGAAAAAAGAAATGTATAGCTACACTAGTTATTTAAAGATTCACTGTTTAGTTAGTAGACTATGCCAGGACATCAACTTTAGCGGAAAACATGGAATAATATTTGAATATGAAAGTGAGAGTGAAAAATATGAGCCAAAAGTAGAAGAAATTGAATACTTGTCATGAAAAACTCTTATTTAGGTTGAATTTCATGATCAAAGCAATCTTGTTAACTTTAATTATATATGTGACCCAGATTTAACTATAGGTTGTCGGAAGCACAAACACATATATAAGCCCTAGGTCACTTATCCAATGCCAAATTGAATGCTATATTACAGTTAATGAAACGGGAGTTGGTCAGGAAACCGATTTGCGTGGATGTTAAAATAGCAGAGGAAGTTGAGTTGCTAAAGAAAGTCTGATAGTAATGACTGAGGGACGATGTCTGTTCATCAGATGATGGAGTGTATGTTGCTGTGACGATTTCTTGACATTATTAAGATGGGCTGTTTACGGAAGTGGAGTTCTCGGCCTCGCCAAGCCTTGGTGATAGTGGACAGCGTTGCACTAGCGACTTCCGTTTGATCCGAAGATAATTTCATTATTTATTTTATTTGTAAAAAGATATATCATATCTAATCACGTAGTGAACAATTAAAAAAAAAATCTATTATTTTTCTTCAGTGTAATTATACGCCACTCATATACATACATGCAAGTTGGCATTTGATCTTTCAATTCTTTCAATTCCCCAGGACAAATTAAAATCAAGGCTTTTTGATATCATTGACAGCTGCTTCTTCAATAAAAATGGAACTCGTAAATTTACTTACCTCGTCATTGGTCATTTGCAAAATTATTTTGTTAAAACAGATTCTGATTGCACACATAAGTACTCTGAAGTTGACATCAAGAAGATGCTTGAGTTTCTGGTTGACAATATCTATGTGATTTTTGTGGACCAGATATTCCAACAATCTATTGGAATTCCCATGGGAACATGGAGCTCCGTTATTAGCAGACTTATTTTAATATTCATATGAAGCAGAATTTATGCAGAATCTTATGCATGAAAAAAGAAGAAAACACTTGCTGTGGCATTCAACTCGACATTTAGATATATCGACGACGTATTCTAAATGAATAATGGTAATTTCCATTCCGACGTCGATACGATATATCCAGGTGAGCTAAAGATAAAAGATACTACAGAGTCCGACACTACTGTTTCATACTTGGATATTTTACTTTTAAAAAGACACTAATGGAAATCTAACAACTAAGCTTTATGATAAACATGTTGACCTTAACTTTTACATCGTCAACTTCCCTTATTTATGCAGCAATATACCTTCATCACCTGCATACGTAGTATATATATCTCAGTTGATTCGATACGCAAGAGCATGCTCTACGTATGAACAATTTCTAAAACGAGGTATATTATTGACAAGGAAATTGATGTAACAAGAATATCAGCAGTCTCGTTTAAAGTCACCATTTCGTAAGTTCTATTGTCGATACAATGACCTTGTCAGTAAATACAATTTATCACTGAGTCAAATGCTGACTGACGTTTTTCATACAAATTGTTAGTCCATTATTTATACAGTGGACCTTCCGATATCCGGACGCCAGATATCCGGATGCTTCAGTATCCGGACGATATTTCATCGGGACAGAATTTTTAAATGTTATATTGTCTTGTTTAAATGGTAATTCATATATCCAGACGCTTCACATATCCGCACAAATTTATATGGAACCAAAGCGTCCGGATAAATGAGGCTCCACTGTACACTGTATTGGCGACGGATTTTTTCCGTTATTTCCTGATTATGACAAGGAGCACACGGCGGGTGTGACCAGTCGGCAGGGGATGCTCACTCCTCCATGATCCCACCTATGATGTTTCGGGGGTCCGTATTTTCTCTGCTCTTATTTTTTATTGTTTTACGGACTTTGAGATTG